CTGTCGTATTACACGTAAAAGAATTCTTGTGAAAATTTTCATGGTAAAAATATAAAACCCGTTCTATATTATATGCGCGAGAATCGGCGCAGAGGGTTATTTCCGTGCATGTCAATATCAAATGTCAACGACAACAACAACAACATAACCTCACTTAACATTTGTGGGAGTGGTCCTGTTCGAGTCGTAGGAAGGAGCGTTTATTGTTATTGTTTATTCATAATGTCGTGGAATCGGGAAGAATTTACAATGTTGTTGGAGGAGTACCAAAAATGGCCAAACCTGTACAAGGTGAAGTCACCCAATTACAAAAACAGAAATTTGCGGCGTCAGGCGCTGGATGCGATAGTCCAAGCATTGAGAAGTTTTATAATATTAACCAAGATCTCGATTTCTAAAATGAATTTAAATTATCGAAGTCTGTTGTCTTTCCGATTATATTGGACGTCATACCCGTTAAGGTTATGTCCATTTGAAAATATAACTCTAATGCGCAGGCGTATCATATGAATTACTCCGAAATTTTGTTTGCTTGTGTCATACAGGTTGTAGAGAAAATCTTCAATATTTTTTCCATGCAAATTTTCAGTATAATTATGACCATAATTTTCGGAGTAATTCTCTTGTGTGTAAAACGGCTCTTACGCTGAAAAACCGACAGTCTGGATCGGGCCGAAAGGCGAGCTGAACGCTTATATCAGGTTCGCGACGGCGTTTTTTTCACCGTCTACACTTGCGCGGCGCGGTTCGTCGCGTGGTTCGGTTCGCGGTGTTGTTACATAGCTTTAGATGCCATAATAGTTAAAAGTGCCCAACTAAAACAACGAAATCTGTATACTTGCTATATATATATATTATAGCAAGGCATTTGATTATGTTCCTCACGTTTGGTAACTTGAGGTGCTGGGCCTATATAAGATCAACCCTGCAATACAAACATGTTTAACCACTTGGATGAAATAGTGGAGTTCCACGCTATTTGTGGACAAAGTTAAGCTAGGTAACGTAGAAATTTAGCAAGGCGACAGTCTTAGCCCAATATGGTTCTGTCTTGCAGTGAACCCATTATAACAGTTGTTGAATAGGAGCTCAGCGGGTTACAAAGTAAATAAGCACCACAATGACAGAGTCACCCACTTGATGTATATGGATGATATAAAGCTGTTTGCCTAGTTAGAAGATCATTTGTCATCCCTCATCCATACAGCACAAATATTCAGTGATGAGGACATCGGCATGCGGTTCGGGTTGGATAAGTGTGGAATATTCAAAATGAATATGGGTAAAATCGTACCCACCGCAACTAGCATATGTAACATAGCTATGTTATCCCCAGAAGCCTAGGTTTTCAACAAAACCCAGGGTTGGATCACACCAACTTAAAAGCAATCGTAAAGCAAAAATACATCAGCAGGATAACAAAGCTCCTCAACACCAAACTTAATTCAAAAAATGGCAATAAATGCTTGGGCTGTGCCAGTGCTGTCATTTAGCTTTGGCGTTATTAAATGGAGCGATACAAACCTAGCTGAAATCGATCGAGAAACTAGAAAACTCCAAATTTCGTATGCTACATCCAAAATCTGCCACGGAAAGAGTATACTTACCTAGTACCCTTAGGGGAAGAGAACTGATAAATGTTGAGCGTCTTTGCAAAGAGCAAGTGTCCAAGCTTCGTCGATATATTTGCAACATCAATGGCCAAAACATTAGAAGCATTACAGCTATGGACAGCAGCATCACTCCCGTGAATTTGGGCAGAAATCATGAATCCCCAGATCGATCAACACCGACGTCGACTGACCTGCTCAACAGATGGAAAGAGAAAGCCCTTCACGGGAGATATCCTGTAACACTTGAAAAAGATGGAATTGATAAAAAGTCCTCACGATCAATTTTTGTGAAAGGCTACCTACATACGGAATCGGAGGGTTTTCTATGTGATATTCAGGATAAGGTTATTCGAACTAGAAACTATGAACGCCATATACTAGGCCTGAATACACACGACGTATGTAGAAAATGCCATACGCCAGGTGAAGCAATAGAACACATCACCTCCAGCTGCAACATGTTCATTTTGTAGCCAAAATAATACACTCCACGTTAGCTCAAAATTATAATCTCATTGAGTCAACCGCGCTATATTATATAATATACACCATTCCCAGTACTCCAGAATCAGTTGGCCCTATTGCACTAGGACGGGGCAGTCATAACCGATAAAACAGTTGACTATAACCGGCCAGACATACTACTGATCGATAAAAATAAACGGAAAGCATACATAATTGATATCGCAGTGCCACTCACAGCAAACATAATCAGAACCGAATACACCAAGGCTGAAAAGTATCAAAACCTTGCCATTGAAATCAAAAACATTTGGAAACTATCAGAGGTCTGCATAATACCAGTAGCAGTGTCTGTGGAAGGGGTAGTCTCTATGAATCTCCACTCTCACTTAGAGAAAATCAAAGTTCCAGCGCATTTTATTGCATTGATGCAGAAAGCCGCAATATTGCAAACATGTCACATAGTTCGCAATAGGCTGAGGTGAATTCCTTCTCTGTTGTGTACATACCCCGTGTGTAACGGTGGAAGACCAACCAAAAACAAATAATAATAATAATAATAAACGTCTTTATTCGCCAAACATCAACTAATAAACATACATTTGTATAAAAAAAGAGTTTGGCGAAGGGCGAAGTTCAGATGTCCGCCACTAATGTGGCACACATCTGTTCTTCCACTTAACCCTGTTAAATAATAATACATTCAACCAACATATCATACACTAAACAAAAATAATAATAATAAAATATTAAACTTGCATTGTCCATATAATAATCAGCTCTGTTTGCTAAATAATGTCCGTTTGACCTGGCTCTTGAATTTTACGATATTAAATGTTTAGATTTCTTGCGAAAAACCATTGTAAGCACTATAAATTTGGTAGGTGAAACTTGGTTTAAGAAATTCATGGTGAAACTTAGGAGGAGACAGTAGCCCCTTAAATCTTACATTTAAAGTGAGTACATCGGTGCGAAATTTTATTTTATTGTAAAGGTATATTGGCTGTTGAGCATGATATAAACAAGCCGCGTGCAATACCCGTCTGTTATACATGTTTAGCCACCCTACATCATATAATTTGTGTGAGACTCTGCTTGGCCTGTGTATATCATAGATTAGACTTAAGCAAGAATTTTGCACTTTTTGAATTTTTTGTTTATACACAGATGTTAAATGGGGACCATATACAACATCAGCATGATTTAGAAATGATAGATCCAGACTATCACATAGAATTATTTTAGTTTTTTTAAAAAGATAATTTCTGTTAACACACATCAGCTTCATGGCAGCATACATTTTTTGCAACAGTTCGTTTATATGCGACTTAAACCTGAGTTCACAATCAAGTACTCCAAGACTTTTAGCTTGTTCTGATAAGGGAATGTCCACATCACCAATTTGTATTTGAATATATGATTTTCCATTATCGTAGTGCTGCTTAGGACCAAATAACATCTTTAATTCATCTGCATTGTTCATCGAACAGTGATCTGTGGCCGAGTTTATAAAATTATTGAGATCAATATTTAATTTCGCACAAGTTGCTCTTACATCTTTTCTTTTGAACGAGAGATATAACTGCGTATCATCAGCATAAAGATCTAGTTTAGTATTTTGTAAAGTTGAAGCTAATTGACTTGTATATATGATGAACAACAAAGGGCCTAACACGGAACCTTGAGGTACTCCGGATGACATATTCATGAACTTTTAATAGTTTCAATAAGAGAAAATGATCAAAGCACGAGTGAAGTCTAACAATATTAATAAGGTATACTCACTTGCATCCTTTGCCGCTATAATATCATCGGTAATTTTTAGAAGTGCAGTTGAGCATCCATAGCCTCGTCTAAACACAGACTGAATATCTGGTAAAACAGCTTAAGCCTCTATATATTGTCAACTGCATCGCAATAATCTTCTCCAGAAATTTGCAAAATGCCGGTAACATGTAAGTCGATTTTTTTGGTAGCGGGACTACCATTGCCTTTTCCAGCTTAAAGAAAGGCAAGATATGAGAAAAGCAAAGCTCAATCATTATAATATTTAAATCATCGTTACCTGTCGACGTACTTTTGATTTCTCTTAATATATTAAGAACCATATTATCTTCAACTGGTTGGAATGAAAAACTATCCGGAAAAAGAGCATTGTTTTCATATTTCTGTAGAATATATGTATACTGTTCGCAATTTTTTTTAATACCTATTATTCTAAGCTCTTAGTATTTGAATAAGTTTTTTGTTGTGTATTTTGATAGAAACATGCAAAATAATATTACTTTGCATTATCATTGATTTCAAAATGCCATTAATAAGTTATTTCGTAAAATATACCAAGTAGTAGTACAGTACCCTATAATTGCGATTATCAGAAAAAAATAACTATAAATAGGACCCCTCAACAATGGTGAAATACTTATACAAAAAGCAGGTATCCGCTTTAAGTACTTAATACATCGAAAAATGCGCAGAAATTGATTGCTAGACAACAATTTCAAGCATAAAATAACAATGTTAGATGGCTTGTCAGAAATGGTTACTATGATAACAATATTGTTTAGAACATTTATCTGTACTATATTATTAAATGTTGACCAAATACTTACATTGATTAACGTATTCTACCTGCTAGCTATTAATGTTTTTCTAAAATAATGTTTTCAAATATTCAGAGCAGGTTTGTTACAAATTGATAATGCAATAAAATCAGTATGTACTGTCTACAGGCGCCCTGGCCTACAGGATAGTGATATGGATATTTTGATGGACTTTTTTATTACTTTCGAAGCGTTACACTTTCGAAGCGTTACCACAAAATCTGATATAAAGTTAAAAAAATATTCATACAGGTATATATGTAATTGCTATTTGTTAAATAAATAAATTTCCCATCACTAGCTATTTAATCATGACATATCAGGCAACCATAATTCATATGACATCAAAATGACGTTTTACTATTTGCCTAATGGATCAATACTTGTTTTGATTGAAAAGTGAAAAATAGTTTTGGAAAGTTCTGAAAATCTACGTTCCGTTGATTCCAAGCTGAAGAATGGGCCAACTGATGCGATTAAAGAAGATGCGTTATTATTGTTTCACGATTTACCCTACGATTCTGGGAGAGAGTGTTAAAAATTTACATTTTGACGGACTATCTTATTACTTCCGGACTAAAAGCCGTTTAGCGCAAAGTTTTTGGCTAATATTTGTGAAAAGTGGTGAATGCGCAAACTAAATTAACTGGAAAACTAGTGAAATTAAAGATGTGTCGTTAATGTTTCTCGGTAATACTTCGAAAAATACCTCTTTGCTAGCAATCAACCACACTATATACCATTCACAATATTATATTTCTCCGTTACAGACAATTTCACAAACTTATTTTCGCTTTTTTCTTTTTCGTCTTTGTGACCTTCAACAGCCGGTGAAACTTGCAAAAATTAATCGCTCTAATCTTAGCTTCCATGAACATGACACTTTCAGTTTTAACTAATACTTTCTCCTTCTTAAGATCACAATCAGAAGCGAACCAGCTCCTTAAGTCTCCAAATCTAAAAGAAAACCTATATTTATCGTCCCTCTCTACAATGCACAGGATTCGTTTCCTTGCGATTACGCCATTTTTAATCAGCCTAAGGTGTTTGCATATTTTTGAAAACATCCCGAAATTTCGTGTTTTGTGCTGTCCATTGGCCCTCAAAAGCTGCCCACCTAGGAGGTCTTCTTTGTTCTCTTTAAATTCTTCAGGGTCTTTCGGAAAATCATCCTGATGTACCATGAGTTCTGCGTCACACTTTGCAAACCCATGAGTTTGATATAGAGAATCTCTATTGTTTACTATACTCAATGTATGTTTATCTCTTCGTATTTTACATTTGATGCAAGCATTGTTAAGAGCTACATTAAACTTTAGACCTTCCTTACTTTGCTCTTCCTTCAAAACAATGTCTGGTTCAGGTTCTTTCTCTGATTCTGGTTTGTAAACTTTTAAACTATTGAGTGTATCGATCAGCGAGTCTAATTTGCCAAGAGAAGTTTTGAATTCTTCTGCCAGAGGTAGCTCGGAATTTTGGTGTAAAATGTTGATGTTGAGTTGTGGTTTGGCTGTTAGCTCCACCTGAATTCTGTTTAATTCTTCATTGCTGTTCTCTTCGTTCAAGCTGGTTAAGGAGCACTCGTCGACCTGGCAAGCTTCATCTGCTTCGCTCTGAAATATACTGCGTTTCATTGAAATTGTAAATGAAAACATTGCTCGTATTCTAATGAAACGTCTAGTTGCAGGACTAGGCCAAATTATACAAGCCCAAGTGCTATCCAACGATTTATTAAGTACTTTCCGCATCCTTATGCGTTAAAACTGCGAGAAATAAATTGCATTTAAAACCAACTGGTTCTTAAATAAATCTTAAGGTTATAATAAGCTCGCCTACAGCATAAAAAGGGCCCACAGTTTTCATTTATAAGTGTTAGACACCACATTATATGACCATATACCTTTAACTTCAAACAACAAAATAAATTCCAGAAGTTCCTGTTGAATTTCGAAGACCTACTTTTGGGTGGGCGCTTTGACATTTTCTCTAACACGGACGCGTCAATTTTGAAAAAAACTGACAAGGCCAAAATCAAATAGAAAAATGACCGATATAAGTGGAATCCAGGAAAAGATTGATTTGAGTTATTTGGATCCAGATTTTTGTAGAGGTGCTTCTAAATTTGAATTTCCCAATGGTGATATATACGAAGGAGAATATTGTGCGCACAGATCTGGGCTTGTTTGGAGAGAAGGTAGACCCAGTTTAATTTTTTTACTGAATTAAGTACAGAAAAATACCCCTAATCTGACTCCATTTTGTTATTGATTTTCAAAAGATATCAAAATATGCAAAGTAGATCAAAGTATGTTTGAATAGTGTGACATTTACGACGGGTTTATATAGCCTTTTAATGTAGTTATACAACTACAGGCCTGTTATAGATATGCTTTCTGTTAAAAGTAAAGCATAAAGCATAAATTGGGAGCTTCTGGAGTACCGCGAACGTCACGGCTTGATTACCGACAGATATATAGTATGTTTCCGGCACCACGATCTTCGAAGGATCTCCTAGCTTACGCCACGCAACTGTGGAGTAAACTCAAGCAGTCTTATGGTGAGGCTAGTGCCGTTGCTCTTTGTATCACGTAAGCGTTCGATGAGCTGTGGCATGCTGCCCTCTTACTTTTCCCCACATGATTTCTTTACCCTCTACAAGGCCCAGATAAGACCTAGCCTCAAGTACTGCATACAGATTTGGGGCTGATTACATTATCTATGCCCGGTGCTACACAGAGCAGGGTTGTCCTACTGATCGATGACTCTTCTCTAACTGACAGTCTCGCGACCATTTGGCACCGACGGGCCGTCGGCGATCTAGCTACCAACGCGCTTTGCTCCTCAGAGATCTCTTCCATGATGCCGCCGCGCGATGTCCGTGTTGGACTTCGTACATCCAGAACTGGCCGATACGACCGATCCTTTGTCCCTAGGGTATCGAGATTGTGAAACAATCTACAGGAGGCTTTTCTCTGTTCTACTAATCTTGGGCAGTTCAAAAATCGGATTAATAAAAGTTTCCTTAAGTTCATTTTATGCTTATCAATTGCGGTCGCTTCGCCTGCGTGGCGGCTTCGGTATAAAAAAGCAGATAATTTTGACGCAAACATTAAGGAACACCCTGTATATCCTTCATATTTTACAGGCTTAGGAACATACACAACTAAGGACGGCCAAACGTACAAAGGTGCCTGGTTAGATGACAAACTTATAAATACTGTAGAGATAAAGTTTCCAAATGGGAATCAATATTATGGAGAGCTAAAAGACAGCAAATTCAATGGAGAAGGGATGTTCGTAACAAATGAAAGTTTAGCGGTGATGTGCAATTTTGTAGATAATAGGCCTGCTGGACATCTACTTCTGCTTGATTTTAAAGGAAAAGAGTGGCATGGTAAGATAGAAGTGGTCTATTCATTTTCCCTTTATTTTTATCTTTGCTATACGATACGGTTTCCTCTTAGGAGAAAACCTACTGTCATAGACTGTAGGTCGAAAAATAATATTATAATAGTATACATATATATATATATACAGAGTGACCCATTCATGTGTGGACGGAATATTACTCATAAACAAATACAATTTGGGAGAATCTATTTATGGGATGTTATACATGCCATTTGAGGGCACATTTCTAAAATATTGGCCATTATACAGGGTGTCCCAATTTCGACCTACATATCAAAGTTGTGATTTTTCAAATGAAATGCCTCAAATTTATTGCATATTTGGATAAACCAATTCAACAGGAGAAAATTGGTATAACATACTATGGGGCTTTGATAATTAGCTACTGAGATATAAGGTGTTCTGTCTGCCCTACTGAGCGAGGGCCGTGGCAAATGCTTGTTCCGGAAGTTGTTGTATCCAGTATACAACTTCTTCCCGTCCAAGTGATTGTCCACGCGTTAAGGAATACCTCAGTACCGATTGCCGGGTGGCGGTACAAGTCCGCCAACGGGCCACTTTAGGTCTATTTAACATCACTAACACGTAAAAAGAAGGTGGTAGACAAGGACCAATCGACCGAGGCAGTACCACCCGCTAGCTTTTCCCAGGGTGTCTTATAAATGTCCGCATGTTTCCACACCTAAGCTATGCAGTCGGTTATCTAACAAAACAAAGAAATTAATGATGATGGATCCCTCGAGCACTAAAAACTCCGGACGTAAACTCACTCCACTCTCGGAATGTCCGGGTGGAGGGTGGGCTCGAGGGAACAACATCGAAGATAAAATTTGTTTTTCGAACATCTGCGGGATCAATAGCAACATTGATGCTGTTCATCACTACCTGCAATCCAATCGTCCCGCCGTGCTTTTCTTGGCGGAGACAAAAATCTCAGAGACTGCACCGATTAATCATCTCAACTTCCCAAACTACGAGGTGCACTCCAATCTGAGAAAGAACGGGGGAGTTGTGGCTTTTGTCCGCAGCAGTCTTTCCTGCTCCAGGGATCTTTCTTTGGAATCAGACCGGAAGGACATTCTGTGGCTTCGCCTCAACTCCAAAACTTCACCCAAATTTATTTGCTGCCTTTATCGCTCTCCCTCGAACCATAACTGGGATGACCTACTCGAATACCTCGCCGTCCTGATCGACTTCCTGAACATCAATCACCCCGCTTCAGAGGTAGTTCTTCTCGGTGATTTCAATGCCCATAATGAGCTTTGGTTGGGCTCAAATAAGACCGATGCAGCAGGTCGTGCAGTCGAAGCGTTCGCTCTTACTCAAGGGCTGACCCAGCTGGTGACGAGCCCTACTTTTTTCCCCCGCGTCTCGTCACACGCCAGTAGCCTGCTGGATCTCTTTCTGACCACGCATCCTGCCCCTTACAGCACTGCTGTCCTGTCCCCCCTGGGTAACTCAGATCACGGTGTTGTGGAGGTTAGGTTTCGGTCCGAAGCCGCTGTGGCAGCAGAAACTCGCACAGGCCACAAAACTTGGCATTACGGACATGCCGACTGGGAGGGGCTCAGAGACTTCTTCTCTAGCTTTCCTTGGAGAGATGTCTGTTTCACGGACGCGGATGCGTCGACTGTCTGTTCTTCAATAACCGAAATTATCCACGTCGGAATGGAGGAATACATCCCTCACACAGTGAAAGTTCCTAAACCAGGGTCCAACGGCTGGTTCAACAAATCGTGTGACACTGCTCGCCAGCAGAAGATCAAGGCCCACAGAACCTACTTACAAAACCCCACTGTAGAGAACAGACAAGCCGACGTCGAGTCCAGAAACAAATATAACGAAGCGGTTCGCAATGCCAAAAACCAGCATGATATAAAAGTTAGGCACAGGGTAATGTTGCAGCGCAATGGCAGTCGGTCTTTCTGGACGCTGGCCAAGCAGATTGAAAAGAACTTCTCACACAGTAGCCTTCCACCACTTACGTGTCAGGATGGAACTATTGTATTCGACTCAAAGGCCAAGGCGGAAGTGCTAGCCAAGATATTTGCTGCCAACTCCACCATGGACGTCCCCACCAACGCCCAAGTGCCGTCAATTCAAAGGGTTCCCCACACTATGCGGGAGGTAACATTCAGGCATAAGACCGTAAGACGAGTGCTCTTGTCGCTCGACATCAACAAAGCTTCTGGTCCGGACTTGATTCCTGCCATTGTACTGAAGAGATGTGCAGCGGAGCTTGCTCCAGTTCTTTCGCGTCTCTTCCAGATATCTTATGAATCCGGCACCTTCCCAGAAAACTGGAAATTTGCTCATGTACAGCCCATCCCAAAAAAAGGATCTAAAACCGACCCTTACAACTACAGGCCTATAGCTCTGCTTTCTGTTATAAGTAAAGTGATGGAGAGGTGCATAAACCGCGAGCTTCTGGACTACCTCGAACGTCACAGCTTGATTAGCGACAGGCAGTACGGTTTCCGGCACCAACGATCCACAGGGGACCTAGCTTACGTCACGCAACTGTGGAGTAAACTCATCCAGTCTCATGGTGAGGCTCATGTCGTTGCTCTTGACATCACGAAGGCGTTCGATCAGCTGTGGCACGCTGCCCTCTTAAGCAAACTTCCATCCTACGGCCTCCCAGAAAAGCTTTGCAGATGGGTGGCTGACTTTATCTCTGGCCGCAAGATATCCGTCGTAATTGACGGATTCTCCTCTTCATCCCACAACGTCAACGCCGGTGTTCCCCAGGGATCGGTCTTGGCTCCAACACTGTTTCTCTTACATATCAACGACCTCCTCTCCTGCACGATCAACCCAATCCACAGCTTCGCTGATGACAGCACTCTACATGCAGGAATTCAGAGTGACAAGCCGATCTCTGCCGCTGAGCTGGAAAAAAGAAGACTAGCGACGACTTCTTCTCTGACAAGAGACCTGGAGGCTATCACTGCTTGGGGACGCAACAATCTTGTACAGTTCAATGCTTCCAAAACACAGTACTGTACTTTGACGAACAAAAAGCGTCCTAGCGCTCATACAGTTTCGATGGACGGTCGAGTTCTACCAAAGAGCCATTCATTTCGGCTGGTCGGAGTCCAGATCACCGAGGACCTGATCTGGCACGAACACATCTCTTCAATAGCTGCAGCTGCTAGGAAAAAGCTAGGCTATTTGTTTAGGGCTAAGAAGTACTTTTCTCCGCATGACCTTCTCACTCTATACAAGGCCCAGATAAGGCCTAGCCTCGAGTACTGCTCACACATTTGGGGTGCTGCCGCCCCGACTACATTGTCCATGCTCGATGCTGTCCAGAGGAGGGCGGTCCGACTGATCGATGACTCTTCTCTAACAGACAGTCTCGGGACTCTTTCGCACCGGCGGGCCGTCGGCGATCTAGCTCTTTTCTATCGCTACACCAACGGGCTTTGCTCCTCAGAGCTCTCTTCTATGATGCCGCCGAGCGATGTGCCTGCCAGACAGACCCGCCTGACTTCGGCGTCCCATCCTAACCGTGTCAAACTTCGTACATCCAGAACTGGCCGATACGACCGCTCCTTTGTCCCGAGGGTGTCTAGATTGTGGAACAATCTACGGGAGGAAGCTTTTCCCAGTTCTACTAACCTTAGGCAGTTCAAAAATCGTATTAACAAAATTTCTTTGGGATCATCATAGCAGCCGCGGTGTTCCGGCATTTAGGCTTCTGCCTGCGCGGCTGTTTCGATATAAAAAAAAAAAAAAAAAAAAAAAGAAAAACCCCCCAGTTCGGTAATCCCCCAGTCCGCCATTTTGAAATTTGGGGTGCTGAATTTTGTATCAAAGAAAACTTACACACCTCAGCTTTTATCTTATTTGTTACTTTTTCGAATTTTAATTTTTGCTCATACAGGGTGGTCAAAAACGCAAATTGTAGTTTTTTTCAAAAATTTCAAATGCATCACCCTGTATATTTATGCAAGTTTGGATTCAATTTCTTATAAGCTTTTTTTGATACTAGACACAAAAGGGTTTTTACGACTATTTTTTCGGTTATTAGCACGTCTTTTATGGAACGACCTAATTCCCTAAAATATCGCATCATCCTTGGAAACAAATAAATTGTTGATTAGTTACAAACTGTCAAAATTAGTTTTGTGAGCATTACAATAAAAACGTGTTTGAATCAAGTGGAGCAGTGCAATATAGTAAAAAATGTATAAATAATCCAAGTGTCACCAATGAGGTGAATCAGTTGGAGGTTCTATTAAAGTTGCAGGAAAATCCCCATTTAAGTGCACGGCAAATTGGAGCAGAAACTGATATATGCAGAACTTCTGTCCAAAGGATTATCCACAAGCATAGGTACCATCCATATCACCTATGCATTCATCAATGCGACGGAAAACACTTACTGGGTTAGGCAAATAGATTTCAAAAATAAATGGAGCTTGAATGTTTGAGGAGGAGTTATTGGCAGACAAGTTATAGGGCCTTTCTCTTTCGACAACAGATTAACAGGTAATTAATATTTGAATTTTTTGATCGAGCTTTTGCTTGCAAACTCGGATGCATATGTACTTCCAACATGACGGCGCACCTGCGCATTATCATAATCGTGTGCGTAACTATTTGGACACCTGGAGTAACAATCGTTGGATCGGTCCTGATAGACCTATATCTTGGCCTCCTAGATCACCAGATATGACACCGATGGACTTTTTTCTATGGGGCTACGTTAAGCAAGAGATTTATAGATATCCACCATCTACCCCGGATGTCCAACGGTCATTTATCCAAAGACTACGGCTGTGTATTCAACCTGGTGGAGATATTTTCAAGTACTTGAGTAGTGACAGTTGTTTGTTTACGTTATTGTTATAGTTATTTTGTTTTCCTCTATTACGCTTGAAGCTGATTTATACTGTTCTGATTGTTATTAGCTTTTACGTCAAATCTGTACTCTAAGGCCCGTATCGTCAGTCGTCCCTACAATTGTAGGGCACGTTTATGGCCTCCTTGATTGTCATACTATTTTCTCTCCTTCAAAAATTTCTAGATTACACTTGTCCCGTGTCAGCGTCAGCGCTTTCCTATTGAGATGATATGTTTTCTTTTTAAATTGTAGGAAATTTCATGCTGATAAAACATGATACAAAAGCAAGCACAATTTGATGCAAATAGATGTTTGTGACATAACCTCAAAATAGAGCGCTGACACGGAGAAGTAGAAAACTATGACAATCAAGGAGGCCATGAAGGCGCCCTACAATTGTAGGGACGACTGACGATACGGGCCTAAGTGGCAAATTGGAACTAGCCCACTGTTTGTCGTTTGTTTCCATGGATGATGTGATTTTTTCCTTAATTTTGGTCTGTTGTTCTATTAAAAGCTTGATAACTCAAAGTTATTTTATCTGAATCAAATCTTAAACCAAAAAAAAGCCTATAAAAAGTTGAATCCAAACATGCACAAATATACAGGGTGATGCATTTGAAATTTATGAAAAAATTACAATTCGCGTTTTTGACGACCCTGTATGAGCAAAACTGAAAATTCGAAAAAGTAACAAACAAGATAAAAGCTGAGGTGTTTAAGCTTTTTTTATTCAAAATTCAGCACTCCAAATTTCAAAATGGCGAAATGAGGGGTTGCCGAAATGCACGGTTTTTCTGGATAAAAAAACTTACATCTCAGTAGCTAATTACCAAAACCTCATTGTATGTCATATCAATGTTCTTCTTTTGAATTGGTTTATCCAGATGTGGAATATAATTTGAGGCATTTCATTTGAAAAATCACAACTTTGATATGTAGGTCAAAATTGGGACACCCTGTATAATGGCCAATATTTTAGAAATGTGCCCTCAAATGGCATGTATAACATCCCATAAATAGATTTTCCCGAAATGTATTTGTTTATGAGTAATATTCCTTCCACACATGGATCGGCCTCGCTGTATATACGTATATAATAATAATAATAATAGACGTCTTTATTTATGCACAATTACATGTAGTATAGCCAAATGTCAGACTTATATGGCGAAGTTTAGCATGCTGCTACTCTTACACTTAACCATATAGTCTCTAGCAGATGTTCAAAAGAATACACTATCCACAAACAGATTTGGTTCATTACATCGAAAGTAAAATTTAAAAAAAAGAGAAAAAGGCATACTTTCCAAACCCAAATGCACCAAAAAATTATTAATCTGAATTAAAGATGGAATAAAAAAGAAATGAATAATTACGTAAATTATATGTTTGGAGGGTTGAGTAATAATGTTTTAACTTTTTGTCGAAAGACAGGTAATGAAAATTCTTTATATACTTTAGGAAGGTCATTATAAATAATAGCAACATTGTAAGAAAAACTGCGTTTAAAAAGGGTATTCTAATATTATTTTCTCTGAGAGTTCTACAGTGAACATCATTATTAAATGAAATTTTTTACTTCAAGTAATAAGGTTTAGACGTGAGCAGCAATTTGTGAACAAAAACTGAATAGTGATACTTGACCATGTCATTAATTTTTAACCAGTTTAGAACGGGATATTTCGCCGATACATGATCAAATTTACGTAAGCCAAAAATGAATCGTATACAATTGTTTTGAATAACTTGAATAACGTTTTTAGTGAAATTGTCTAAACAAGTATAGTATACGATATTACAATAATTTAGTATAGATATGACCAATGCTTCACATAGTTTTTTACGCATCTTAAAATTTAGTAAATACCTGTTTGCTATAAGAGTGCGCAGCCGTAGGTAGGTTTTCTGAGATAGACTTTTAACATGTTCAATAAACCTTAATTTTGTATCAAAAAAAACACCAAGAATTTTTGCAGAATCAGAAAATTGCAAGATTTGGTTATTTATCTGAATGTTCAAGAGCTGTGTTGAATTGTATGTTTTTCTTTGTGCGCAAAATAATAACATTTTAGATTTTTGTGGATTAATAAGTAGATTGTGATCTAAAGAGTATTTAATTAATTTATTAACATCGTTTTGTAAAATTTGAGTAGTATTATTGACATTATCTGGGTTAAAATAATGAAGCAATTGCGTATCGTCTGCAAATGACTGGACATGAGAATTATCAATACTTTTGCTTAAGTCGAACGTATATATGAGGAACAGAAGCGGCCCCAATACAGAGCCCTGAGGTACGCCTGAGGGAATTATTGTCACTTGAGACATTTCTTGATTGAGAAAAACACACTGAGTTCTTTGATGAAGGTAACTGTCGAAAAATGAAAGGGACACACTGTCAAGACCTATGTAATTTAAGGCTAGTGCCATTTTCTTATCTAAGGCATTTAAAATATTGTCTTGCAGATTAAGTAGGGCAGATGTTGTACTATAATTTTTTCTAAATCCGGATTGAGTGTCGGGAAGTATAAAGAATTTTTCTAGGTAAGCGGTCAATTGGAACTTTATAATTTTTTCTAAAATTTTGGATAAAATTGGTAATAAACTGATAGGTCTGAGATCATTATACTCAGTGGGTTTCATTTTTTTAGGAATTGGAATAATTAGAGCTTGTTTCCATGTGTTTGGAAAGTAGCCTTTTTCCAAACAGTCGTTAAAGATGTGGACAATGTGATGGAGAATAACTGGCAGGCAAAGCTGGATCATTGACAGGGATATACCATCAATTCCCTTCGCATCAGATTTTAGGCTCCCTATTGCCTGTAATACGTCATTTGAACTAATCTTATTCAATGAAAAAATGTATTCAGAGCTCAATTTATTTTTGAAATAGTTTTCGCAAACTAGTGAATCAACAGGTTTATAGCTATAAACAGACATAAAATAATCATTATATAATATATATTATATAATATATATACCCAAAAATTTGAATGATTCAACTATTTCAGTTATTTCACCATTTATCCTGTGATACTGCATTCATTTAAGTATTTCCCTATTAGCATACATTTTGTTTTAGAAGCATTCAATTTCAGTTTATGTACATTTAATCAATTTGTTTTGGTCATAAGAATTTACCATCTTTAAAGCAGTGTCTATAGTTTCATCTAATATTCATATTATTATATCACCTGCAAACACCTGTATCTAAATTTTACAATAATCTAAAGTATCATATTTGTATAAAAACTGTTTTCTCGTAGGGTATAACTAGTGATGCATACATTCCTTTATTAACTGATGACGGCATTGCGTGGTAAGTGCAGAGTCAACCGACTTGACGCTGTTTTTTTTGTTCCATTATCTTAGGAGTCTCAAGTGAAAATAGTGCGTTATTATACAGAGAACATGTCTACTTTAATGGTATCGGCAAAGACTGCGGCAAAGGAAAGTTCAGAGTGAAAAAACCAAAACGGAAATCTCATCAAGAAACAGAAGTAGGGGGTGAAGACACTCAAAAACCGCTTGGAATGGATAAAATGAAAGAATTGGAATTACGAATATTTGCGAAGACAAAAAAGACAGTGTCTGATTTGAAATTTGATGACTCAACATGGTATCAGAATTATATGAATTTTAGAGAAAAATTTAGCGACATCAAAGAACGAATAACAACTCAAGGTGAGAGCGCACTAGAAGAACATGAGAAAAAGTGGTATGAGAGATATCTGAATTTCAAAGCAACGCACGAAAAAATGATGAAGACAAGGAAAAGAAGTACTTCGATGAAAGTGGAAGAGTTAATCGCATGTTTGAGTTGTTTCATGGCTCGCAGTACAGATCTACCTGTCCAGGTATTCCAGTGATTTATGGGCATCTTGAAGAGGAAAAAGCTGAGCCTGAAGAAGAAGAACTTATTGATCCTGATACATTTGATTGAATAAATATATTCTCTTATAACAAGCTTTTATTTAACTTCACCTGTTTGTTGGTATGCTAGTAAGTATGTATGTGGGGGGAAATGTTGGAACTGAATTTTGAACCAGTAAACCTTAACCAATTGAGCTGAAATTTTATACACACGTTTAGTTTGCGTGACAATACAATGTGAAGTAACTACCGTCATTGTGAATCCAATATCATTCATCATTTCTAGAGTAACCCCCAAGATCTATGCATCAAATAAAAGGGCTTGTCGAGAGAAACACAAGATGAAGTGACGTCATTTTAAATCCAATGCTGCTGCCGCTATAACATGGCGATTTATATTTTTCATAGTCACCCCTACGACGTTGGTATCAAATGAAAGGGCTTAATGCGAGAATCACGATAAGCAAATAACGTAATTCTAAATTCCATATGGTGATCGCCGCAAAATATAATAATAATAATAATAATACTAATAATAATAATAATAATATAAGAATGTAGCGTTTTTCTGGGTTATTTGGGGTGTGGATTAAAACACAGGATTCCACAAAAAGGAATGCACTAATTTTTTTACCTTGACTAGGTAGAACATTTATGTCTGACTAATTCTTATGTCGCGCCATTGACTGAACTATACTCCACTCTACTCTACTCTACTACCATCTCCCAGCCGTCCCTATGTAGTCCGCATCACAGGTACTCGTCGAGTAGAGAAGATTCCGGCGAGCCACAAAGCGGCAGTCTAGAATATGCGAGGTCACTTCGCGTCGATCTAGAGGGCGAGTCACTGGCACGGTCCTAAACAGACGTCGCCACCGAAGGAGAGTCGCTGACACGGCCCCCAACAGAGATCGGCCATGAAGCAGCTAGCGAGTAGGAGAGTCTGGCGCGGTCCCCAACAGACGACGCCAACGGTACTATTCATTCTTGTTACACTGCCTCCTGCCTCCCTCCCTAAAGACATTCCGTCCCGGAATGATCTTACTGGCGGTGGATGTCGATATCAGCACGACTGCCCTTTCTTGCAGTAGGAGTTCTTGAAGAAGTAACAATCCACACTCTTTCCAGGAGGCAGCCGTCTAGGACTGTGACAACATACCAGAAATCGAATGCCTGTATACCAGAAGACTACCTCAAGCATGCTTCGGATGATTCTCCAGTCCAGTTTGTCCAGTCCACATGCCAGCTTAGGTATTGCCAGTTTTCTCAGGTCCTCGGCAAGCAACACTTCTCTAAGAGAACACAAAGCGTTCCAGACATCCTCGTAATTCGGTTTCTGATACGAAGCTTTCTTGGTAACGAGATAGAAGGTCTTTCGGTTGCTCCCCTCTGCAGTTATCTGGAGTACTTCTCCTACTTCCGGGTTAGATCGGCGCAGATCGTGCACTCTTCCAAACTTCCTAAGAAAGACCTTTGCTATACCTCTTGACATTTGCAAGTCTTGAGCCACACAGTGTGCCAGGTCATACTGTGGTGAAGTGGTAAGCAGATCTTGCTGTACCTCAGATGTCACGCCATACCGACTCTGGTTCTGGTTCGATTTGCCGCACCGCTCCATCTTCGTTGTTTCCATGATAAGTGGCAAGTCGGTTGAAATGAACAATTCGGGCTTTACCGCGTGGTGCCTTGTGAATCCTGTAGATCATTGATAGCTTCGAGAGCTTTATATGGCGCGTCTCAGGATGATTGAAGTTTAGGCGACAGCCCTTTTCGCCTCTTTGGGTCGTAAAGCCAAACCGTATCACCGTTATACCTCTGGTCTTTGGCGTTAACCTCATAAGCTTCCTTAGTCCGGTCGCTGGCACCTTGAACTGAAAGACGAACCTGGCTATAGATGCCGTCCATTCTTCTACGCAGGTCACTTACCTAGTCTTCTCAGGCAATAACAGTTCCTGGTGGACAGCCAAACTTTAGGTCGCATGGGAGACGAAGTTCTCTTCCTATAACTATTCGAGCCGGGGTATCTCCTATGCTTTCATGAATCCACGATCGGTAAGCCAATAAGAAGCGGTGAAGAAAACCATCCCAGTCTTTTTGATGGCTAGAGACCACCTTAGCCAAATACCGGTTAATGCGCTCCACAATTCCATCTGACTGCGGGTGTAAGGCAGTAGTCCTGGTCTTCTTAATCCCAATGAGAGTTACTGGCACGGCCCCAACATAGATCGGTTATGAAGCAGCTGGCGAGTAGGAGAGTCTAGCGCGGTCCCCAACAGATGGCGTCAACGGTAACATTCATTCTTGATACAATAACAATAATAATAATAATAATAATAATAATAATAATAATAATAATAACGCCTTTATTAGTAGTACATGAGAGAGACAAATATAGCGAAGCTTAACCTAGTCTATTCTTACACTGAACTATCTTCGTCAGTACATTTAGAGCACGTTACGTGCGCTACCTAAAATATGTCCTCAAAAAGAAAATTAGAGTTACAACTAACTAAACTAAAATACACAAGTATATACAATAATAATCTTGACATGAAAATACATGTATTGGATTAGTTGAATAAATTTCTATAAGCTAATAAATTCATTGACGGCGTAAAAGTATTATTTGTCAAGTAATGTTTCATGCGTTTTTTAAAGCTGATAACGGACTGACTGCACTTAATATCTTTGGGCAGCCTATAAATGAATGGTATATGCAGATGGATGCTTTACCTAGGGTTGTCTTTATGGATTTGGTTATTTAAAAGAAAATTATTCTGGTTCGAGAAGTCGTATATGACCATCTCGAAAATAAATAATGAGGGAAGGTTCAGTATAAGATATTTCTTAAATGGTAAGTCACTACAGCTATGCCTGGAGCCAACACCTGCCATATAACTTAATACATTTTCCTGATTTACAAACACGTACTTATGTCAATCTGGAATCAACTTGAGCATAATATAGTGTTATTAATTGATGCTCATAATAGTTCTCAAATTGTTTGAATTCAGTATTCAACTACATAGTACAGTGTATTCTAAAACTAAGGCTGTCGTCAAAGTGAATGCCTAAGAACTTTACTTGGTGTTCTAATTGTAAGTTTGTATCTTTAATTTTAAGATCTAAGAGACTGAGCTTTTTTTGAGCATTGTGGAAAGCTGAAGTTTTATCCGAATTGAGATACAGGTGATGCCTCGAGAACCACTCATCTAAAACAATCAACAAACTATTACACTTACATATAACATTCACATCATAGATGTCAGATAGTATAACAGACGTGTCATCTGCATATAAAGTGAACTCAGCAAAACATTTATCTATATCATTGATATAGATGCTAAATAAAATCTGTCTTAAGATGGATCCTTGCGGCACACCCACGTTGACAGTGGTTGATGAGGATTTCACTTGCACAATTGCATCATTTTGTGTTTGTGCCATGGATACGTATTGCTTCCGACCCCTGAGAAAAGACTCTAAACCAAGTATAAGCTGATTCAGATACTCCGGTCTGGCTAAGTTTATTAAGCAAAATGAGATCGACACAGTCGCACGTACAGTATGTCCAAATATATAGAAAATATAGATAGGTAATCCGAGCGATACGTATTTCTGCTTGTTTTCTTCATCAGGCCCGAAATGGATGCACATATGCAACTACAAAGGTATATACACATGCCCATACATCCGGATACGGGTGTAACCTCAGGAAACGAAGATGGAGAGGAAAGAAAATGCCACAAAAAAGTCACAAACAAGAGCCAACCTACACACATTGTAGTATAAAATGGCTAGAAGACCTCGAATTTTCAAGGCGACATCTAACCACCACCACGCGGCCGGTTATAGCCACTTGCTGTGGTACTTCAAGCCCAAAGGATCTACAAAGAGAAAAGGATCATGCGGAAAAAGGTATATATCAAATAGAAAACAATGGGCGAATTCCGCGAATATAACGTTGCATATATGCATTCATTCCGGGCCGGATGAAGCCAACAAGCAGAAATATGTATCGCTCGGGTTACCTATCCTATTTTCTGCTCGAATTCACTTCTTTCTTTTTACAGAATTTGCCCATTATTTTCTATTTGTTATAGGTATACCTTTTTCCGCACTTTTCTATTTGTAGATCCTTTGGGCTTGAAGTACCACAGCATATGGCTATAACCGGCCGCGTGGTTGTGTCTCCTTGAAAATTCGAGGTCTCCTAGCCATTTTATACTACAATGTGTAGGTTGGCTCTTGTTGTGGACTTCGTGTGTCGTTTTTTTCTCTCCATTTTCGTTTCCTCAGGTTACACCCGTATCCTGATGTGTGGGCAGGTGTATCTACTTTTGTAGTTTCATATGTGCATTCATTTCGGGTCTGATGAAGCCAACCAGCAGAACTACGTATTTAATTTAGTTCACTTTCCTTGTTTTTGCGGATGTTGCTCATTATTTTTCTAATTGTTATATACCTTTCTCCGCATGATCCTTTTCTGTTTATATATATGTATACAGGGTGTCCGCAAAGTTGGGGTTTTCCTTTTCAGAAACAACTACCCTTGAAATAACAAAGGTAATGTGTAGTGAAACGAGGGCGACCAAGTAAAAAAAAATAAAGGAAAAAGTACTCACTCTCCAGTTGACGAGAGGGCTAAGTAAGTCTCTGCCCGAAATCATACCGCTGAAACAGAAAATAAAATCAGCTGATGCGCTACCGAGCAGACGCAGGCAAACAAGGAAGGCAAAATGTTGCGTAAAAAGTCTAGGTATTGCATCCCGTCCAATCGATTTGGGAGAATAAATGGTCCAATGAGCATACCATTCACCATGCCAGCCCAAACATTCACCGAAAATGTTTGTTGAAAATGTGCCCGACGGACAGCGTGCGGATTTTCTACTGACCAAACATGAGTGTTGCGAAATTTACGCGTGAACGTAGATTCGTCTATCACCAATATGCACTTCAAAAAGTCCGGAATATTGTCATGTTGATGCAACAACCACTCACAAAACCGCACTCTTGCTGGAAAATCGTCAGGTTGAAGGGCTTGTACACGTTGGACGTGAAACGGATACAGCCCCACTTCACGCAGCGTTTGCCACACTTTAGTTTTTGATACTTGCACTTCTCTAGCCACGTCTCTAATGCTTGTTGTTTTTTGAAACGCAATCGATTATACGGGTTCGTTTACCTCTTCACGCGTGACCGTAACCGTCGGTTGAAGGTTGCATACTGACCTGACACACTGACCCCGACCCAGTTCTGTCGTCGGGTTGAGCTAGTGTCCTAGTACCACTCGGGGATGTCTCGGCTACAGGACGGTATTCAGATATTTTTGATGTTGCAGAGCCCTTTATCTCGGTTCCCTTAAGGCATTGGTGTATATGGTACTAAGAAAAATTGCTTATGTTTTCAAGATCTACACGTCGTGTAAAGGAAAACCCCAACTTTGCGGACACCCTGTATACAGTGCTTTTCTTTAATGTCCCCCTCCCCTTTGATTTTTTGAACGGATCAATTCAAAAAATTAAAATTTGAGGTAATGAAATTGATGCGTGGATACCATATTTTAGAGTAAAAATGACAGATGAAAATGTCAAGATGGTCGCTGGGCGCCATCTTGGAAAAAAATTATATGAAAACGGGGGTCTTGTAGCACATCATTTTGAAGCTCATGACGAGTACTTTATAACCCTAGAATATAAAGTCGATACCTTTTCCTACTACAAAATGGTGGTACATTACTAATTACTCAAACACAAAACCCACTAACATGAATATCTCTATAAACAATTGTAATTCCCTGCCGTATCCACAGCAACAGCGATAAACACTTGTTTTGTGATTTTTTGTTGACAGTGACAAGAATATCAGTACGAAAACAAACATCATTGTACAGTTAAAATATTCTTATTTAGTTTTCGATTTTAGTGCTAGATACTGTTTGAACTACATACATATTTTTAAAATGGTTAATTCTCGTCCATTGGAAGAAAAAATCGAAGCGATTTTTATTTATGGTGAGACGCGTAACTTTCACGGGACCGAAAGGATTTATAATGATCGTTTCCCGAATCGTCCTATCTGTAAAAAATATTTAAGGGAACTTGTACCTAAATTTACAGCTACTGGTAGCGTAAACAACAAAAAGCCCCCAGGTCATCCGACCATCCCGGAAGGAAAGCAAGTTCAAATAATTCGTGCGATCATAGTAATTCCCCAACAGTCTACTTCTTCCATCGCGAATGTATGTGAGGTTTGTCCTTCTACTGTATGGAGACTTTTGAAAAAGAATAAGTATCATCCATACAAAATTCAAATGGTACATCAGCTAACTGAAGATTACCCTGATCGAAGAACAGAATTCTGCGAGACTATGACGGAAACCATTGCACGGCATCCTACCTATATCCAAAACAATTGTTTTAGTGATGAATGTACATTTTTTCTCGACGGTAATGTGCATAGACAAAATTGTCGTTATTGGAGTGACACCAATCTTCACGTCTTCCGGGAAGCTCATACTCAATATACACAAAAAATCAAATTTGGGGCTGGGATATTTCGAAATCATATTGTGGGGCCTCTATTCATCGAACGAACTTTAACCGGGGAACTATATTTGGATATGCTGGAAAATACTATTGACCCTCTAATCACCGAAATCGTCGAAGCGAATCCTAATGAATTCGATACTGATATTGTATTGCGGCAAAATGGTGCTCCACCATACTACTACAGACAAGTTAGGAATTATTTAGATAACAATTTACCCGGTCGTTGGATTGGCCGTCGAGGTCCTGAGGAATGGCCAGCTCGCTCGCCAGATTTGACAGCTTTAGACTTTTTCTAAGGGGCTATTTGAAGCAAAAGGTATACGAAACTGAACCTGCTTCAATATTGGATATACGGCTGAGAATAACAAATATTTGTAGAAATATCGATGTTACTATGTTTGAAAATGTTCGACGCGAAATTACGGACCGGCTGTTATAGTGTCAAGAAGTTCAAGGCAACCATTTCCAGCATCTTCTAAACTGAACTCAACGTATTTATTCGAATTATCAACTTAAATGTCAATGTATTCAGGTAATTACTAAATGTACCACCATTTTGTAGTAGATAAAGGTGTTGACTTTATATTCTAGGGTTATAAAGTACTCGTTAGGAGCTTCAAAATGATGTGCCACAAGACCCCAGTTTTCATATAATTTTTTTCCAAGATGGTGCCCTGCGGCTATCTTGACATTTTCATCTGTCAATATATATATATATATATATATTGAACTTGAGACGTGGTCATTGTCGTCTAGACCAGTTAGGTGAAAAATTAAAGCTTCCGCCTTTTGTTGGGTACTTCGACAAAATTTAAGCAAGGAGGACTCTTTATACTTTTTTATTCACTCTAGCTTTCAATGCTCTTTGCCAGCTCCTGATGATGATGGCAAAGACCACTGAAAGCTAGAGAGAATAACAAAAGTATAAAGAGTCCTCCTTGCTTAAATTTTGTCGAAGTACCCAACAAAAGGCGGAAGCTTTAATTTTTCACCTATATATATAATATGTGTATAGATATACATATATGTACATTGTTTGCTTACGGAAATTCGCAGAAGACATTTCCCTGTATTTACCTGGTAGGTAAAGCATTGTAAAGTTTGGCAGCATTATACGAAAAGCAACGCTTGAAAAGTGTTTTAGAGTGAGGTGATATTCTGATTATTTTACGGTCTCTAATGCTCCTGCTATGAACTTCATGACTAAATATAATATTTTTTCTCAAATAAGCAGGCCTTGACGTAGCTATAAACTTGTGCAAAAATAGTAAGTACTTGTACTCAACTAGTTTGCCAATTTTTAGCCATTTCATATGAGGGAATTTATCGCTAACAAGGTCAAATTTTCTCAGCCCATGGATCAAATGGATGCACTTATTTTGAATAATTTGCAGCCCGTTCTTCATGAACTGACTACATGGATAGTACAGAATATCGCAATAACTTAAAATCAACATAGAGGCGATTGGCAAACAATGCTCTCATCCTGGCAGAGTTTTAGCTGAATGTGTTAGTTGCAACAGCGAGCCATTTAGATGTTCTTTAACTGAATTTCTCACATTTCTTCTCATTGCTTCTGAGCAAAATAGTAATATTTGCGTTTTATCTGGATTAATTGTTAGATTGTGGTCACTTGAGTATTTTTGCAGTTTACTCAGATCCTGCTCTAATAGAATAGCAGCATCTTGCGAACAAGAGGTGTCAAAATAGTGTATAAGTTGAGTGTCAACAGCAAAAGTTTGTAAGTCAGAATGCACGACAGATTTGTGCAAATCAAAGGTGTATATCAGAAATAATACTGGACCTAGTATGGAACCCTGAGGGACACGCGATGGTATTATGCTGACTTCAGACAGCCTGTTGTCTACAGAGACACAATGCGTACGCTTCTGAAGATAATTTTCAAAAAACTGAACACTCACATCATCAAGACCAATATAATGTAGTTTGGAAAGCAAGAGTTGGTGATTGGTCTTATCGAAAGCTTTAGAGTAATATATCGCGACTAGATATAGTATACCGTCATTTTTTTGTCTATAGCTCGGATAACATTATCGCACAGATTCAGTAGCGCAGAGGTTGTACTGTGGTGCTTTGTAAAACTTGATTCATTAAGAAAAATAATACCATTATGGCAATTAACTTATAGGTCTAAGATGCGTTACATCAGTTGGCTTGAGAATTTTACGTGTTGGTAAAATCAACGCATTCATCCAAGCTTTAGGAAATACCCCTTTCTCTCTCTCTCTCTCTCTCTGATGGTATATTATCGGCAAACTAACTTTAATCATCGTTATTAACAACGTATTATATATTATACCTTATTGTCTATATCTTCAATAAAAAATAGATCATCATAACTAGCTACCTTTACGTTATACATGACAAGCTTGTGATGAGATATTTGATCTGAATTCATCGCTACACGTTCATTAAAAAAGTCGTGCTTGTTAGTGAATATAGAGTCAAGTATTTTTTTAAACCGAAGCAGCCGTGCAGACAGAAGCCTAAATGCCGGGACACCGCGATTGCTATGATGATCCCAAATAAATTTTGTTAATCCGATTTTTGAACTGCCTAAGGTTAGTAGAACTGTGAAAAGCTTCCTCTTGTACATTGTTTCACAATCTCGATACCCTCGGGATAAAGGAGCGGTCGTATCGATCAGTTCTGGATGTACGAAGTTCGACACGGTTAGGATGGGAGGCCAAAGTCAGGCGGGTGTCTGGCAGGCACATCGCGCGACGGCATCATGAAAGAGAGATCTGAGGTGCAAAGCGTTGGTGTAGCGTTAGAAGAGAGCTAGATCGCCGACGGCCTGCCGGTGCGAAAGAGTCCCGAGACTGTCTGTTAGAGAAGAGTCATCGATCAGTCGGACCGCTCTCCTCTGGACAGCGTCGAACATAAATAATGTACTAAGGGCGGCAGCACCCAAACGTGTGAGCAATACTCGACGCTAGGCCTTATCTGGGCCTTGTATGGGGTGAGAAGGTCATGCGAAGAAAAGTACTTCTTGGCCCTAAACAAATAGTCTAGCTTTTTACCAGCAGCTGCCGCTATTGACGAAATCCATCGAAACCGGATGAGCGCTAGGAAGTCTTTTGTTCGTCAAAGTACAGTACTGTGTTTTGGAAGCATTAAACTGTTCAAGATTGTTGCGTCCCCAAGCAGTGATAACCTTCAGGTCTCTCGTCAGAGAGGAAGTCGTCGCTAGTCTTCTTTTTTCCAGCTCAGCTGCGTTACGCAGGTAGGAAAGGTAGTCATTTGTGCAAAGCCAGTTGAATTGAAGCAACAAAGCATAATGCTATTTTGATTTAAAAAGCCAACATTGAGGTCATTCAATATAATAACTACATTGTCAAATTTATTCGAAACATCGGGCAAAATAACATTTAATAACAAGCTGACACAGTCATTAATATTTTGTGATGATGGTCGATACATCACCCCTATAACAAATATACTTCTATTAACATACAGTTTTAACCACACACATTCCGATTAACCACTTATTTGTACATCTAAGTTTAAACTTCAACACGTAAGTTAGACCTGAAGAAGATAGCTACACCACCTCCTCGTGTTTCTCTGTCACAACGAAATCTATTGGATTTATCTTATTACACGATTTATATCTATTGAAATTGTATAATACAAATAAAGTAAAAAGTTTTGTGGAGTCCTATTAATGAAATATATTTATGGAAGTTATATCTATATATAAATAAACTCGTTATTTAATATCATAAATACTAAAAAGTAAAAAATAAATGAACTAAAATATAGATTTCAAAAACAAGCTGTTATTTAGCTGTTCATAAAATGAACTAAAAAAGTTTTGGGCCAAAGAACTGAAGTCCGGGAGTAATAAAGTCGTTCAAAATGTGAATTTTCAATAGTTTCTACTAAAATTGTAGCGTAAATTGAGAAACATTAATAACGACATCATCGTTGTTCTTACCAGTTTGCCCAGTCTTCAGTTAGATTTTCAGAATTTTCAAAAATTATTCCTTTTTCAATCCAAACAATATTTAATACATCAGGCAACCAGTAAAACACAATTTTGATAGCACGTGTGATTATGGTTGCCTGGTTTGCCGTGACTAAAAGCTAGTGATGAGAAATTTATTTTATTTTCAATAAATCCGACTATATGTGAATATTCTTCTTGTTGGCAACACTGAACGATAACCTTGAACTTTTCAAAAACAAAATGGATCCATGGTTGATGTGTCAAACAGACCTGACTATTTCTGGAACCATAATAACAAAATTCGAAGATAATTTTGTTCCACCATTCACCAAGTTACCGGACTCTGAAGAATACCTAGCTAACCTCGGTAACTTTTCATTTCAAAACAACCTCTTCCACATTTTGAACTCAATATTTTTGGTTTCAGAAGCAAAGTTGAGGAAGTTGCAGCTAAATCCAAATATCTTATCACAGTTAGCTGCAAAGAAGGAAGCTTGTATGCAACAGCTTCTGAAGACATCAACTGAATTAGATGACGAAATTCTGACTCTTGAAGAACCTATCGAGAACCTTCAAATACTGAGAACGGTAACTCCACAACAGGCGCTCACCCAAGGTGAACTCGTGGAGTTGATAAAGTACGACCAACTTAAATACGAAGATTGTGGTGATAAATTAGACGAGAGTTCGTTTGCCAGCAGATAAATAAAATAGCCTTAGGTAATTTTGAAATTTGAATCTATCATGTCTACCACTGCTATAGATTTTTCCAAAAAATGTATAGTTTTTGTAACAGGTGCCTCTCGAGGTATCGGGCGTACCATCGCTGTCGAGCTTTCTAGAAGGTTGCAGCAGAATTCTATTTTTGTCTTACTTGCTAGATCTAAAACTGGTTTAGAAGAAACTAAAAATCTTATTCAAGAAGTGGATAAAGCAATCAGTGTGCATACCATTCCGATTGACTTATCTAAGCCAAATCTTGGTGAATATACTAACAACTTCAACCAGATCTTGAATGTTATAGATAAAAATGATATTTACTCTGCTTTGTTTTTCCATAATGCTGGAAGTATTGGTGATGTGAAGCAGGTTGCTGATCTGATAGATGTTCATAAATGGAGCGATTATTTTCATTTCAATCTTTTCTCTGTCTCCCTTTTGAACAGCGTTTTTATAAAACTTCTAAGGCCTATCGCTCCTCAGCTTATTGTTGTGAACATAACATCCTTAGCAGGTCGTCAGCCTTTTGCTAATCTAGCAATGTATGGTACTGGTAAAGCTGCTCGTGTATTGTTTTTCAAAGCATTAGCTATTGAAGAGCCTAACATTATTGTTTTAAATTATTCTCCTGGGCCTGTTGATACAGACATGTTCAATACTATTATTGAAGAAGCACAATCTGAGGAAGTAAGGAATAACTTTAAGAAAACTAAAGAGACAGGCATTTTGAGCACTTCTCAAACGGTCAATAAGATGTTGGGGATATTGGAGAAAGGTGACTTTAAGTCTGGGGATACTATTGATTATTTTGATAGAGCTTAAACATTCCCTCAAATTATTTTTGGTGTAACAAGTTATATATTTGTACTTGATACTCAAATCGAAAAATATATATGCTTACAGATTTCAGTATTATAAAATCATTTCTTAAATAATTTGTTTTTTATTAACAAGTTCACATTAAAAGTAAGACATAGGCATAAAATAGTTCAAGTTGAGACCAAAACAACAGTATTTAATTTGTGTTCCAAGCAAACCTTGTATATTCTTTATAGTTTTTCCAAATTCATTTTGGATGCTCAGATCTCAACTTTGTGGGACCAGTTAGTCCATATTCAATAAAATATTTTTATTACTGCGCATTATTTTTATTAAAAATTCTTGGCCAATCTGAGTTTGTGTCATGCTATGTATAAGTTAAAAAAATTGTTATATCTTAGCTGACATTCTTTAGGTTTATAACAACAGTTATTCCATCACATTTTTGTTGAACGCATGCTTTTTTGTTCATTGCTTTTTAGTAATTAGGTATTGATTTGAATCATTAGATTTACTTAGAAAAAAAATTTATCTACTATGCATATATTTGTCTATAAAAAATTAATAAATGATTATGAAAGCATATTGTGTTTTAATTAATTTAAAATGATGTTAATTCTTTTTCATTTGGTATAAATGAAGCATCTGTGAAACTAGATTTATCTTGGTATTACAGGAGCTTAATTATGCGGGTTATTCAAGGTTACAAGTTACAATTTGTATGGTAAATATGGTAAAGAATGTGACTATGATGATAACATTTAATTAAAGTGATATTTTGTTAGCTAAAAACAAACAGCATTTAAAGCTTTTAAGTCGGAAAGAGGTTTTTATATATGGAACACAAAATAACTGGCACTCAGAGATGATTTTTACGTTCCAAAAAAGACATACATGGTTCTTGTAATGTGATATGTAAAAATGGTTTTGTAATCAAATTGTATGAAACACTACCTTCATGTTCAAATATGGTTGTGGTTGAACCTCCTTCAATATTATAATATAATATAAAGTTAATGTAGAAAATGTATAAATTAAATGCTGATAGTGACAAAATAGGTTGGCCACGAATTTTTGATTATTCTCTTTCAAAATTTGGGCACTGATATTAAGTTCCATTTAATCCAGTTATTCTTTAAATTTAATGAAATATTGAGAATGGTAAACGATTCCACTGCCTCCAAAGCATTTATAGCTAGCCTGCTTTATAGATCTTTGTTATCGCGCAATGATTTCGCTCTACCTGTTGCCTAAAATTCGAACCCATGATCTTCAGGATGTTTGCCTTCAACAGATCGAAACTTATAGCGCAGTCCGTGGAAGCATATGACTCTCTTGCGACAAAAAGGGCGAGCAGCATTTTTCTCGTTCTCAGACGGACAAATTGACCACTTAGATCCTGAAAAATCACACCCTAAATCTTTTTCTTGGAGGCAATGTCCACATAGATAAGACTGTATTTGAAGAAATAACTTTCAAAAAACGGCTATCGTGGGATGATAAAGATAACTAGTCAGTTGATTGTTTTATTTATTTATACCTTTACAAACGTGCATATGGTGTGTCCCGGTCACTGAAAGGTCACCTTGAACATGACTTCGAAGGTCACGTCAAAATTTCCAAAGGACCCCTCTTATGTTTATACTGGAAATGAGAAAATCGAGAAATTGTCATTCAAAGGTGACCTTGACTATGTCTTTCAAGGTTAAGTCGAAATTCCTAAGGGAAATCAAGAAGTTATGCGACCGCATGTGACCTTGACCTCAAAGTCAAGATCGTGTAAAGCTTCAATCTTACTATGAAGGTCAAGGTCTCATTCAGACGTAAAATTTTCTGCTTTTTCCATTTCCAGTATAAAAATGATACGTTTCCTTTGTGGAAATTTTGACTTGACCTCGAAGGTCATGGCTAAGGCCACCTTTGGATCATCCCCACAAACTTAAGAACTGTGCTGCCAAACTATTTTGCTAGAGCAAATTGTTTTTGATGTCTTGATTTGACCTTGAAGTTTCATTGAAGGTCATGACCGAGGTGGTGTTCGGACGTAAAATGTGTTCTTTTCCATTCCATTGTGAAAAAGGGGCGGTTCTATTTGCAAATATTCATTTGACCCTGGAAAGACCTTGAAGGTAGTAGTCAAGGTCACCATTATGTTCCACGCTCGAAACCATACAACTCTTGTTTTAAACTTTTTTTTTTGTTGAATGGGACACCGTTTATTTGGTTTATTATGCTTATGATTACTTTAATCAAACACTTGATGTTTATGTATCATTTAATCACATGGATTCGGTCATATACCAGATTGCCTAGGCGGATAGATTCAAACTGGTTTGAGCTCGGGTACACATCAATAAATGACACATAAATTTTTAAGTTTTTGAAGAAACTAATTAAATCAAGTATGATATTTGGAATTTTTTATTTCATTAAAAATATACAGGGTGTTCCATTTCCTTAATAAATTATCATTTTATTATATCGATTTTCAGTAAGATATGCGTCCATTGATGTTCCTCCTGAAACTCGCCTGGGACTGCAGATACCGACTCCCACTTCTGATAACAATCGGCTTCATGGTCCTGGACGTAGAAATGCAACTGGACATCGACGTTCAAACTAGAAGAGTTCGAAGGCCCGTGCAACAGCCTCGAACAATACCGCAGTTACAACCTGCAAGTACCGCCGTCCAACCTGCTCCTCAACATGATGGGGATATCTCTGACACGCGAACAGAGGGTAAGTTGAAAACCATTGATTAGCGTATATCTGAAGATAGCCACCCTAATACCATATTCGCGCGTCCGAAAAATCGTCCAAGATGATATGAGTTACCTTAGCGACATCTATGAGAATTTATGTTTGTCCTCTCCGCGTTAATTAGGAATCTACTTTGAAAAGGTTAGTATCTCACAGATCACGCTGTAACCAATTAAGTATGAGCATATAGCTGCAGCAACATATACAGGGTTTGTCCGGAAAGTAATAGGACTCATTTTATTCCGCCATGACTGTACTTCGGAGCGTGCGCGCACCGACTGGATTCGGTAGAGGGCGTTCCTAGCTAACGAATGAGCGGCTGGTCAGTTGTCTCCGAGCACTTGGAGAGTCAGGACAGGCATTTTCGCGCGACGTGTCTCTGTGAGTGGTGCAAGCCGAAAATGCAGCGTTCGTTAGAGCAGAGGTACGCGATTAAATTCTGTGTGAAACTCGGTAAATCTGCGACAGAGACGTTTGATATGATCAAGCAGGCTTACCCAGGTGTTGCTTTAGCAAGAAGTGGTGTGTTTCGGTGGCACCAGGCCTTTTTGGAGGGCCGGGAAGAGGTCGCTGATGAAGACCGTGCTGAAAGACCTTCGACTTCGACAAACACCAATAACGTGACTCGTGTGCGCAAAGTTTTGAACTCAGACCATCGACTAAGTATTCGATCAATTGCCCAGATGTTAAATTTACCAAAATCTGTGGTTCATGGCATTGTGACACAGCATTTGAACATGCGCAAGGTGTGCGCGACGATGGTCCCAAAAGTGCTCACTGACGACCAGTAATTGCGGCGAGTGGAACTGTGCCAAGAAAATTTGAACATGTGTGAAAGTGACTCCCAATTTTTGAATAACGTAATCACAGTTGACGAGTCGTGGATCTTTGAGTATGATCCCGAGACAAAGAGGCAATCTTTCGAGTGGCCGCGCTACAGCAGAGATGTGCCCCCCCCCCGGACTTTTTTTGTTTCCTCGCCTGAAAAGGCCGATGAAAGGCAAGCATTATGATATGACAGAGGGGATCCAAGCAGCATGCACCGCGGCTCTCAAGGCTATTCCGGAGAATGCCTTCCGTGACGCCTTCAATGCTTGGAAATCGCGTTGGCAGCGCTGCATCGACGCAGAAGGAGCCTATTTTGAAAGTTTTTGAAGAATTGTAACGATTGGCTCAATAAATTTTTTTAAATGGACTCAGTCCTATTACTTTCTGGACAAACCCTGTAGATATGTGTATATATATATGTATATGAAAATAATGGGCAAAATGTGCAAAATCCTATTTTTGTTATATACCTTTCTCCGCATGATAATTTTCTCTCTCTATATATATATACTATATTGTTTAAAAACAATTTCAGCAACAATCTGGCCGACTTAGTAAGTAACTATTTTTTTCTCCTAATTGTTATGTGTTGCTGTTGTCAATAATTGTTTCCAGCTCCAGACGATGAAGACATAGATCTTCGAAAGCTTGAGCGTAAGTTATAAGAGTGTACCTTTGCAATACTTTGTCTGCTACCCAAAGAAATTCAAGGATATTTTCACCCTACAGTTAAAAGGCAATTAACTATGAATACTATATATAAAACGCTGGCGCATCGAAAACGAAACAGACGCATTTACTGGCAGCTCAGTTTTTTTTTTGAAAAACGCTCAGACCCGTCGATTTTGTTTTCGAGGGGGACACAAGTTTGGCAAAAAATCACGTTAACACGTGCAGCCCCCTGGGCGGGGGTGACACCACCCCCAAAATCTTAAATGGAAAGGGGCGTCGAGTGATACCTTATTTTAAAAGCCTTTCAATTCCCTTTATAGTGATATAAAATTAATGTACTTTAGTTCTGTAGTTTTGAAGATTTATTGATTTAAAGCTTAAATAAAACTAATAGATCATCATTAGTGGAGATCAATACATTTGGCAGCAAAGTAATTTAAAAATGAAGAATGAGCTGACCCGTTAGGCAAGTAAATGTTGAAAATGGCCACCATGACTCTCCATGCAATAATAAAGATTTTGCTCAAAACGTTGCCGCACATTTTGCAATATTTGAGGAGTAATTTGAAGGCACTCATTCACAATTCTTTGTCGCAGGTCTTCTAATGATGTTGGCTGAGTAGCATAGATTTTGATTTTTAAATGACATCACATGTTAATTTATACACTTATTAAATGAATTTAAATTAAAACTACTCAAAATAAAATTTTGTATCTGTTATGTAACATGTACATAACATTAAATAAACAGGTGTCTGACCAATAAATGCCCGCATTGGGAATAAGTGCCCTCATTATAACATAAACGTATGTTCTACAATAATTTCACTGTTAGTTTGATTTGTCTGTGACAAATTGGGAAACTGAGAAAATTCGCCCCGTCCAATATTTTGCTTCATTAGTTTAACTCTGGCAAGAAACGCTGATAAGAGTCACTTTCTTTTTAATCAAATTTAAACTGTCGCCTTGTAATTGCAAATTAACCATATTAAATTTTGTAAACAAATCTGTTAAATAGGCGATGTCTGTTTTCCTCTTCATTAAATTTTCTTTTAAAATGTTATCTTTAGTATCCAGAAATTCTAAAATAGTCTCAAAAAGTGAAAAAAATCTTGTCAAACATAAGCCTTTCGACAGCCAGCGTACTTCAGTGTGAAGGAGTAATTGATGAAAAACTCATTTCATCAATACGTCTTTCAACAGTATTGTTGCTTAAGGGAATTCTTTTAATGATATCAGATGCAGGTTTGTGTAAAACAGTTTTTAAAACCTCTTCGACGGCTGGCAAAATTAACTTCTCTCCGATAGTATGCGGTTTTCCGGATTTTGCTATAAGTAACGAGATATTGTAAGACGCCCGCAAACCATCATCATTTCTTTGTGACGTCGAAGCGAACATTCTGTCCAGTGTAGGTCTCTTCTGAAATGGATCTTTGAGTGTTTGAAAGTATTTCAAATCTTTCTCTGTTTTCAGGGTGGCATCTTCTCAGATGATCTTGCAGTTTAGATGGTTTCATAGCGTCATTGCCCAAAACTTTGTTGAATAAAAGGCACATAGGCAATGATGGAATGAAGCCAAATTTCAAATAATCAACACTGTACTGTTTACATTTCCTTTTAGATTCGGACATGGCATCAGTCATCTGTGCTGCTGTATATTAAAAATAATTTTTGATTTTTCCGAAAACATTCCATAATTCGAACATCTTCTTGCAACAATTAGCTCGAATTACGGAGATTGCACTGTAATTATATTACCGATTGCTAAAACTTTCAAAAAGAAACTATTGAGAAGTACTCGTGTAATTTTGCATGATTGAATATTTAACTACTAATATCTAAAGTCATGATTGGCGTAATTTATCTATCTTTGCTAACTACGAGTACAACACTAAAATTTAATAAAAAATAATGTACTTACTTTTCTCCAGCACTCTCAAACAAAATAACACTGACTCACTATAATTTGTGTGATATACTATCTGTTTATATTTTTTAAAATATTTTCTTAGCACTTTCCTTTTCAAGATTCAGGAAACGAATAAACGTATTCATTTCATGGACCCCCAATTTTTTTTTCGCTGACGTAGACCCCTAGGGGTCGATATAGAGACCACTTTGGGAATCAATGCTCTACATAGTATGTAATGATATCAATCTTTATTGAATATTATTAAGACTTAGTTAAGGAAAACTAAAACAGTACTACATTTGTCTCTTAAAGCACACAAAAATGATGACCCTTTATTTCCAACATTTTGAAAAAAAAACAAACCATAAAACCAAAATAACTTATTGCCTGTTGCACAAATGAATGTTACACAGAAACCTAGTTTAATTTGAAGATGTTTGTTGCACAAGTCGTTAAACTTTGTTAACTTTAAATTTTTTGAGTTTTGAGATGGACTAATTCATTTTTATTCTTCAAAAATGGGTTTGGTTGGTGTATCTTTGAACTAATAAACAATGATTTTCTAGAAGAATTATTCAGACCAAAAATAAAAACTATTTCCAAGAGATTAGTAACTATGGCATATTTTAGGAAATTTAGTTTGTAGAAACTGTTTTGAATAGTCTGAACTAGAATTATTCAATGATTTGTCAGCGATAAAACATACGAAAATAATTTCATTTTCGGCGGATTTTCAATTTCCAATCGTTATACAACCTTCATTCGGCACTCGGCCCTCAAAGATCGATTATAAAATTTATAATCGATCCTTGAGGGCCTAACCTTTTCAAAGTCTAATTAGATAGATAAAAATTAAAACATAATAATGCTTTCTTGTCTGAAGAATACAATCATTCTTAATGAAAAAGCTAACCTAAAAAAAAATATAATCTAATTACATAAGTGGATCATAAGTAGGTGAATTGCAGAACTTATGTGTAGCGAAGTGCCGTTGGGTGCTTTGCAATCTTCATATCAAAAGTTCTCCTTTAATATTCTTGTTTTTCGAGCTATCCACTGCTTCACAGCATTCCATGAAAGAGCAACAATTGCCCTTGAAATAACCTCTAGGTGTATTTAAACTCCCTATGATCTATTCCTATTCCCTTTTGAAAAAATCAACTTGCCCTTAAAATGACCCTCCAGGTGAATGTCAACGTTAAATCCAAGGTCACCACTGGATGCACCCTTAGTTTCCAAGGTACTTGGGTATGTCATAGTTTTGGGACACCTGATAACTTTATTAATCCCAAGAAATTTTTACCAGTGTGTAGAAAGACAATTGAACATACAAAATAAGCTTTCATTCATTGACACAGAAACCAAGCCAAGCTGATGGGGGTCAAAGTAGTACTCTTGTATGCTTATTTAAGAATTTGAGAAATTTGCCTGGATGGGGATAAAATCGGTAACTCTGGACAATTTGGTATTTTCTGTTTTTTTTGCATAGTAGAGGTTGATTTTCGTAAAACAAGATATCGCACCCGTTTTCCATTTGTAAAGTATTTACTTCTGCTCGGCTTGTGAAGTGACACTATTTATAATAATATGTTAAATGGTTTTGTCTTTTTCTAAGCAATCCTTTTTTTGCAGATTCATGGACAACGGTTGATGAAACGACTGATGAAGAATAATCATTTACAGATAAAAGACCTGAGACTGTTGCACTGGTGATATTGATGTTTGTTCATTATTTATAAAAAAAACGTTGCTATATCATTACTATATTCGATAAAACTATTAACATTTGACTTTGACACTATTTTATTACCAGAATTACGTCATACGAAATTAAATCTTCGGGAAGGTGGAAAATGTTCAAAATTCTACCAATGTTTTAAATACCTAGTGTGTATTTGAGAAAAGGAAATTCAAGAATGGTGAAGAAAAATGTTAAAAGGTTCAAGAAATATTTTATTCAAAAAATATGTATACAATTAAATGCCAACGAGTTTACTGAAATTTGAAGTTATAATGATCATTAAATTTATACATTTTTTTCTAAGAAAATAGTATAACTAAACCTGTATAATATAACGTAAAATATACTCAATGATGGCAGTCAGATGCTGGCGCTAACATGTCCGTATTACACATCTGCAAAAAAATAGTCAATAATGAATGCCTTTATTATATTGTATATAAAATTAAGAAAAACGGTAAAACGTGAAAAAGAATGCACAATGAATAAAACTAAAATTGTTAAAAAGGAGAAACAAAAAAAAATACATATATGTATATAAATGAAAATTGTGAATGAAATACAAATTATAAAAGATATCACCATGACACCTAGATTTATGTAAGATTATTATTATTTAGATTCGTCACAATTTTTTACACACTGGAATTTTTATATGTTCAGTTTCTGAGTCCATATAAACTTCAGGATACCTTCTCGAATTGTTTCATGTTTTGTAACAAACATAAAAATGTTCAAAAAACAGATTCTATGAAATTTGAGGTACATTAAATTACCTATACATCCGTGATTTTCGTCGTATTGGTACGTTTTCATATTACAAATTTCACTTCGTATCTAAAGGAAATAAATGCACAGTGTTCATGCAAGTTCTAAAACATACTTTATTATGTTGAACTCAAAAGCCATACAAATTCAAACCCTTTGGCACGTGCGCAAACAAGTCAAACATGCGCACAAGAAGAAGATTTTCGTGAGGTCAATTCGTAAAGATCGATAAAGGCAACGGTCATCTTCAAAACCTCGACAAAAAAATCCTAGTTAAACCGGGTACAATATATCCGCTAAGGCAAGTGTGGTAAACCTAAGGAAAAGCTGTGAAGAGAGAGGCGCTCCTCCAGACCAGGCGACACGAACACCCAGGTACGTGCCATCCTAAATTGACTTTGTATGGCTCGGGTGTCGATTAGCTTATAACCTTAATTATATCTGAACGCGCTTACAGTCCCGCGGCTCTCCACAATTTAGAATCAACTTTGCAATAACATTTGTTGGCCATTCGAGCCCGGATTTTTCGGGTAATTTTCGAAATTTTCCACGAAAATATGATTAAGAATTAAGTAATTATTGTCGCCGTCTTGTATGTTCCCTCTTACAGTTTTGCTTCCTTTCAATTCGAAGCTCAGTCGTAGAAACATTATTTCATGTAAGTAACCCAAAAAAGGGTGTAAGCAAAAACACGTCCGAATAAAAAGGAAAATTGTGTTGTCAGCTGGTAAAATTCGCGAAGATTGAAGTTAAACATCCACAGTTGTTACGCCACTGAGGGTGATATTACTGTTTACTTCTCAGCTACTGATAAACGCATTGTTTAAGTGGAAAAAGTGCGAGTATTTTCTTGAATTTTGTAGTGCACCTAGTCTATGCGATTTGTGGTGTGTACTCTTAAATTCGATTTGATTACCGTGTGCAGTGTGATGTTCTTTTAATAGCACCACCAGTGAATTTCTGAGTAAAATATCCAAGCAAAAACCACTCCACGCTGTCTAGTTGTTTTTCGACTCAGCGGCGTGCGCTCAGTTCCAATGGTTGAGGTAGCAGTATGTCTGGTAAAAATAAGCAACCAGACATAGACATGCGATGCGAGGCTTGTGAAGAGGATATCCGTAAAGGCAGTGCAAAGATAAAATGTTGTAATCTAAATTGTGAAGTTACCCTACATCAGAAATGCTTCTCATCGATTGCCAAAGTTATAAAACTAGAAAAATCCGACTGGCTGTGCAAGAACTGCGATGAAGATAGTGACACATCAACCACAACCGTGATATCGTATAGCGATGGAGATGTAATCAAGGAGCTTGCTAAAGTGAAGAGTGATGTTCGGCTACTAACTGATCTTGTGAATGAGTTAAAATCTACTAACAAAATTTTGCTCAACAAAATTGAACAGATTACATCCAGCAGGCTTCCCGATGTACAAATACAGCAGAATACTGAACTTCCCGTACTTTATAGTCAGGTTGTGTCAAAAACTGTAAGCAATCATTCCAAGTCTGTTTTAATTATTACGTCAAATGATCAAAAAGAATCAAACTCCGAGGTTTTAAATACTGTTAAAGCGAATGTTAACCCTGCTGCCGAGAAAATAAGTATCAATGGTGTTAAGCTTATAAAAAATGGAATGTTGATTAGTTGCTCTAACGAAGAATCTTTAGAAAAACTTAAGGGTGTAGTTCAGAATAAGTTTAACAGTAAGTATAAAGTAACAGCTCCCAAACCCTTCAAACCCCGTCTCTTGATTACTGATGTTGATAAATCACTAGATGATAGAAACACTTTCCTCGAATCAATAGTCCAAAATAATGATTACTTGGCTGATTGTGATATAAAGGTGATATCTGTTCTAAAGTTAAAATATTCGTTGAGTTATATAGTAGAGGTTGATCCTGATGTGAGGAAAACCATAATTACTGGTGGATTTTTGTATACCTCTTGGAAAAAGTGTTTTGTCCGTGACCATATTTCAGTAATTAGGTGCTTTAGCTGCTCTCGATTCGGTCATTTGAAAAAAGATTGCAAAAATAAGTCTGTGTGCGCGCTATGTTCTAATGACCATGATGAGAAAGATTGTAACTCTGTTAGTAAGAAATGTGTGAATTGCTGTGTATACAATAATTATATAAAAAGTCATTCTAGAGATTTTAAGCCATATTCAGTCGACCATGCTGCATCAGACAGACAATGTCCATGTTTTTTAAAGAGATATGCTGAATTAAAATCTAGAATTGACTATGGCTAGGCTTAGTAACAAAGTTTTAAATATTTGTCATCTCAATGTGCGGTCCTTGACTACTGCTTTCGACTGTTTTTGTGGATTGGTTCAAAACAAATTCGATATTATATGCATTACTGAAACGTGGCTTAATAAAAACATTTCCAGTCAAGCTGTATCTATAGAAGGCTACCAGCTTTTCCGTATAGATCGTTTGGGTAGGGGTGGAGGGGTTGGCTTCTATATAAGAAATAATTTCAACATTACCGTTATTGATACTCTTGATTTTGTAGGTGACTCTTCCCTAGAATTGCTATGCTGCAAACTCAGCATGGGCAACTCTACCCTACTTATTGTCGTCATGTATCGCCCTCCTCATACTTCAATTACAGATAGCATTGATACCATTGATGATATGCTTTCTTTCTTCGTACCTCAATATGATAATATAATAATTCTTGGTGACATAAATGTTGACCTTTTGAATCATGACAATCCTTTGAGCAACTGCTTCGATAGCTTCAATTTTGATCAATTAATAAATGAACCGACTCGTGTAACTCAGTTTAGCTCAACTCTAATAGACCCCATGTTTTCTAGCAATTCAAACAGTGTTGTAAAATCAGGAGTTCTTAATGCTGATCTTGTGTCCGACCACAAGTTAGTTTTCTGTGCTGTTGCTCTGAAGCTTCCTAAATTTGAACCCAAGTTAGTAACTTATAGAGATATAAAAATATTGATGTTATTAATTTCAAGGGCGACTTACTTCATGCTGGACTTGATCGTATCTTTTACTTTATGGATGTTGATGACAAAGTAAGCTGTCTATCTAGTTGCATAATACAAATATATGATATGCACGCGCCATTACGAACTGCTCGTGTAACAAAACCGGCTGCTCCATGGATAACATCGAACCTGAGATGCATCTTTAAGGAACGCGACAAAGCTCTCTTGAATTTCCGTCATGACCCATCTGATGTGAACTGGTCTACGTACAAAGATATGCGGAATTACGCACTTGCTTCCTTTCGTAGGGAGAAGAGGGCCTACCTTTCTAGATATGGTGATATTAGTACACGATCAGCATGGAAAACACTTAGATCTATGAATGTCTGTCAACAGAAACGTGTTGATGTACCGTTTAATCTGCTAGATCCTCGTGAAGTCAACGAATACTTTTTAAGTACTTTTATGCCTGCCGATCGAAACCTCAAAGTAGTACAATCCACTGTCAACAGCTACAGCAACAGACGCTTCGATCCCGACGTGTCATCATTTCACTTTCGTCTGGTAACCCCTCGTGAAGTTATGAATGCAGTCTTGTCTATCAAGTCTGAAGCAGCGGGTTGTGACGGCATCACTCTAACTATGCTAGGCTTATGCCTGCCTGAAATACTTGATCACATCACGCATATTATTCATATTTGCTTAGAGCGGGGCGTTTTCCCATCCAACTGGAAGGAGGCAATAGTCACACCTTTAGCCAAAAGTAATAATCCGTCTGAACATGCCGATCTTAGACCTATAAGTGGTTTATGTTTCTTGTCGAAAGTCTTGGAGAAGATAGTATACGAACAGCTTGTTGAGTATTTTGCTAATAATAATTTCTTTCCAGTACACCAATCTGGTTTTCGTGAAGGTCACAGTACGACTACTGCACTACTACATCTTGCAGATGAGATACTTTCCAACCTTGACAACAAATCCGGCACGCTGTTGATCATGCTTGATTTTTCCAAGGCTTTCGATACGGTCAATCATGAGATTCTTTTGAGTAAGCTAAAATATTATGGCATGTCGGAAGTTCCTTTGAATTTCTTCAGATCGTACCTAACTTATCGCACCCAAAGAGTGAAAACATCTAGAGGAACTTCTGATGCACGGTATCTGTCATCAGGAGTTCCACAGGGTTCAGTACTGGGACCTATTTTATTCTTAGTATACACATTCGATCTGCATGAGTGTGTAGAACATTGTTGCATTCAAATGTATGCTGACGATACACAGCTAACATTTCGTTTCAATGAATCCAACTTACATGAAGCATCTTATAAAATCAACCTAGATCTTGATAACGTATTAACGTATTGCAATAGACACTGTCTCCGCATCAATCCATCAAAATGCACCGCGATACCATACTGTCCTAGACATGCAAATTACAACATCACAAATCGAGTCTCCTTATTTATCAACGACATAGATATTCCATTTTGTGATAATGCTAAGAATCTAGGTGTTATATTTGATTCAAATCTTCGATTTGACTTACATGTGAATAATATTATGAAGTCGAGTTATATGAAGATGAAGCTTTTATATTCTAATCGCCATATTCTAAACTTTAAGTGCCGCAAAAAGTTGTGTGAAAGCCTCATATTATCAATTTTAGCTTACTCTCTAGAGCTCATTTACCCATGCCTAGACTCAGCTTGCAAGTCAAAATTTCAGAAGCTTCAGAACAACTGTTGCAGATTCATATTTGGGCTTAGGAAGTACAGTAGCGTTTCTTCAAAAATCAAGGAGTTACGGTGGCTCAGAGTTGACGGCTTATACAACTACTCTATGGCTTCATTGGTGCATAGACTTTTTAAAA